CAAAACAAAATAACAAAGAGTAAAATATGACACAGTTGCTGTTTATGAATAACGTGATTTTGGCAATTCGACCGCTTGCTGCTGTGGAAGTTTTAGCAAGCAATCAATCAATTGGAAATTATGAATAAACTATAATTAGTTGGAGGTATTATTCCATTCCAAACATTCACTTTACGAGGGATGGTTGTTTTTAGTGACTTATAACACATGGTAATACTAGAAAAATTACACACTTTAGTCGAATATATGTCACTATGTATCGACAGCTGGCCCCTATAAATGTCAAAGAAAAAATATTATTTAAAAAATCCACGCCTATTACAGTCCTAGAAATAAATTATTTAAAAAATCCCAGAAAAATTTTATTTGTAAAATCCACGCCCATTACAGTCCTAGAAAAAATTATTTGAAAAATCAACGCCTATTATAGTCCCAGAAAAAAGTATTTTAAAAATCCACGTTTATTATAGTTCTAGAAAAACATTATTTGAAAAATCTACGCCTATTCTAGTCCCAGAAAAATATTATTTGGAAAATCTACTCCTATTATAGTCGTAGAAAAAAATGATTTAAAAATCCACGGCTATTCTAGTCCTATAAAAAAAACTTAAAAAATCCTCTCCTATTCTGGTCCTAGAATAAAATTTCTTGGAAAATCCACGCCTACTAGTCCTAGAAAACAACATTCTCTTCCGAAAAAAAAGATAAATTTTTTAAATATCCACGCCCACACAATCCTTTCTACTGATTTTCTGTCTTACATAGAGAAAAGTCTTTTGGTCTTCTATGATATTTTTATGTCTGAATATGTTATGTAGTTTGTGGAGATCTACGGAATAACTGTCCAGAGAGTCGAGTAGGGTCGATTTCTTAGTGAATTAATTATTTATTTGTTTAATTGTGTCCGATTGTGAGGGAGATACCAAAGATGACTTGATTTAGACTTGGTAAAGATAATTCCGATCCTTTCGCTTTACTGAACATTTTTAACATTTGAGGGGGGCGGTACTAAAAGCTGTGAACCAATTAGCCCCATAGTCGGACTTTATATAGGTTTGGTTAGGTAAGGTTTTCAAAGTTAGTTTCAAATCGGACATTCCATTCGCCTAACATTGGACATTTAGTGCATTCAGTACTATTCGTACACATAAATTTGAATTTCCAAAACTGTCTCTATAACTCAATTCTACACTTCAACACTAATCTATGTTACAAATCACATCTATGTTACAGCTCTATCCATCCACCCAAATCTAAATAATACCAAATTTAGTACCATTTAGTACTTTTCATACTCATAAATAATCATAATACCACCAGAGCCCAAACTGTACCAAATGTAATACTTTTCGTACTCATAAGTACGATTATGTTAATCTATCTTAATCATGCTTTCAAATGCTTTCAAAGTTCTATCTGCTCGCCAAAATCCAAATTGTACTAGATTTTGTACCATTCTGAACGTTTCGTACCCATATTCCAAAATTATCTAAATCGTTCACTCCAAATTGTGAATTTGGAGTACTAAATTTGGTCCAAATTGTACCAAATTTAGTACTTTTCGTACCCAAAAGGACGAATTTCCAAAACTACCTCAGTCGTGCACGCCAATAATAATCTTTAGTCCACATTTACGGACTCCAGCTCTATCCGTTTTCCAACATCCAAATTTAACAAAATTTAGTACCATTTTTTACTTTTCGTGAATGTAAGTACGATTTTCCAAAACGTCCACAAGTCTACACTCCAACGGTAATATCAATTTGAAATTTAAGGATCCAAAACCTATCCGTTCTCATAAATCCACATTGTACTATATTTAGTACCATTTAGTACTTTTCGTACTTATGAGTTCAAATTTCCAACACTGTCTCCATACTGTACTCCAACAGTAATTTTATTTTCAAATATAAGTTTTCCATCTCTCTCCTTTCACTTAAATCTAAATTGTAATAAACTTAGTACTATTTAGTACACATAATTACGCATTTTCATAACTATATCCATGTCTTAATTTTAATTCCAAAATTTTAGTGCTTCTCATATCCATAAGTACGACATTCCATTCTACCTTAATCCTGTAATTTTTCATTCCAAATTTAAGTTTTCCATATCTATCCGTTCAATCAAATCTAAATTGTACCAAATTTACTACCATTTAGAACACATAGTGACGAATTTTCAAAACTAATGACATATCTCAATCCTGCACTCCAACTGTAATTTTAATTCAAATCAGGATCTCAGCCCTATCCGTTCAGCCCAAAACAAATTGGTACCATTTAGAACTTTTTGTTTCTATAATTGAGAATTTCCTAAACTACCACAATCCGATACTCCAACAGTAATTTTTATACCAAAATTCTGATGTTCGGCTCTATCCGTTTACACATAATTAAGTTGTATTAAATATAGTACAATTTAGTACACATAAGTACTATGCTTCCATCTCTCCACCTCTCTCCGTTCACTCAAATAAAAATTGTACCAAATCTAGTGCCGTTTAGTACTATTCGTGCACATAAAAAGGAATTTCCAAATCTGTCTCTATAGATTCATCCTCAACAGTAATACTGATTCCTAATTTCAGGTTTTTAGCTCTATCCGTTCACCCAAAATCCAAATTGTACTACATTTAGTACTTTTCGTACCGATAATACGAATTACCTAAACTACCTCAATCATACACTCCAACAGTTTCCCAATTTCAAGACTCCAGCTCTCAAATTTAACTTGTACCGAATTTAGTACCATTTAGTAGTTTTTTCACCAAAGTACGATTTTTAAGATTATCTCAATCCTGTACAACAATAACAATCCTAATTCTTACTTTCAAGATTTCATATCTATACGTTCAACTAAACGCAAATAGTACCAAATTTAGTATCACAACCTATATTTCAAGATTGTGGTTATATACAATACATATATACAATTAGAACTAAATTTAGTAAAGTTTAGTACTTTTCGTACACTTAAAGGTCGTATTTCCGAAACCCATTTTGTATATCTTTCCAGATTTCATAGCTCAGGAGCTAAAGGTCGACCACAAAAATTGTTTTAAACCATTTACACAAAGCTGGATACAAAATAAAGCTCGATTTTTCGGTTCCACACCAATTAACAGACTGGAGATGAGGAATGGATCACATACGATAACCCTGTACGAAAACGATCATGGTCAAAGAGCGGTGAAGCACATCAAACGGTGGCCAAACCAATAAAAACGGCCAGGAAGGTTCTGCTATGCATTTGGGGGGACTGGAGGGGGATTATTTATTATGAGTTGCTTCCATATGGCCAAACGCTGAATTCTGATCTCCACTGTCAACAACTGAACCGTTTGAAGATAGCAATTGACCAAAAACGGCCAGAGTTGGCCAACAGGAGAGGCGTCATCCACCAGGACAACGCTAGGCCACACACATCTACAGTGACTCGCCAGAAACTTGGGGAGCTTGGTTGGGAAGTTTTAATGCATCCGCCAGTCAGTTCGGACTAGGCACCAAGCGATTATCATATTTTTCATGCATTGCAAAATTTCTTTAGTGATAAAAAATTGGTACCTAGGGAGGATTGGGAAAATCGACTACTAGAGTTTTTTTTTGCAAATAGAAAGCAGAACTTCTATGTGAAGAGAGGCATTATGAAGTTTCCTTTAAATTGGCAACAAATCATACAACTAACAGAGCATATTTGTATTAATTTCTCTTTCGAGATGAGCTACATGATCGAAGTTGCAATGAAAAGGGAAGCCAGGGAGATACTATATTCCCACCATTATGCGACGCGTTTCAACGTTGTTTAAGCGGCTCATCAGGCATATTGGACAATGTGACTTACAAATGTCGTTACTTGATAAGTTGTATTTATGTCGAATATTGTTGCGAAATTGCATCTACGAATTAAATTCAACCGTGTCATGGTTCGGACATTTGGCATCACACCAGAACATTCCTTTTCAGAGCAGATTTTTCTTGTAGTGACGCACTTTTTTTCCATGCAGACTATAATCTTCAATGGTCTACAACTGCATATTGTGCAAGTTTAGCAAGATAAGGAGGTGACTTTGCACGTTAAGGCGCCGGACAACAATCAACAGATTCCATGGGAACCAGGGTTCAAATCCTAGCGGGCTCAAGCTGAATTTTTGAGTTTTATGCCTCTTTCCGATATTCCGAAGCGTGTTAAATAAAGTCATATAGTTCATATAAAATAATGGATTTCCCCAAGCAAATATTTATTATTTGCCAAAAAATAATGTAGTCAAAAATAACCAATTTACATTGTTTACATGTCAACAATAGGTAATGATAGGTCATATACAGCTTATATAGGCCTTATACTTTGGTGACCCATATCTTTTATATGCCGATTAAATTTATGTAATATTCGAAATTGGTCAATTTCCTAAAATTTACAAACCAACCATCGTTGGCTCGCAAAAGTTGTAAGGAATTCAAGTGCAACACACAACAACAACAAACAGATATCAGCAACAGTGCGCTGTTTAAGACAAGTACTGCAGAATAAATGGTTCGCTGAATGACTGGTTGGCGCTTGACTCGCGGCCGGATGAATGAATGGCTGGCTGGTTAGCTCCCTGGCTGGCTAATCGTAACAAAATTTGAAATGTAAACAACACAACGTAGCCGTAGCTCAAGGAAGAAACACACACGAGCGAGCGAGTCTCTTTGAAAGTGGCGCGCGCAAGCTTCTTTACGCGGTATCAAAACTAAATTTAAACGGGAAAAAAATGCAAGCTAATTTTAGAAGTCAAGCGTAAAAAAATCACAACGTTCGAATTTAAAAAGAAAAAAAAATAAATAAATAGAAAATGGAGATGCGAAATTTAAAAGTGAAAATTATGAAAGTGTGAAAGGATTTGAGGGGTGTTTATTGTTTTCGAAATTTCGAAAATAAGTAGAAAGAATATGCGAAAAAATTTAAATTTAATAAATAAAATAGTGAATATTTAAAGAGTGAACGAAAAAATTAAAATGCAAACTAAATTTTATTTTTCCTGTGCCCTAACACTGGCATTGACCTTTATGTTCTGCTGCAGCTCCTCGGAGGGGTTGATATTCAGTCAAACGGATTTAAAAAATTTCGTTCAAAGTGGTGTCTGGGATGTTAATGTTTTACGCTGCATGCTGAGGAATAATCGGATATGTCCTAGTCCATATATCATGTATCGTCTATATGCGCCGTAAGTGATTGAAGTGAACGGACCTTTCGAAATAAAAAATATATTTTGAAGGACCCACAGAAGTATGGACTTAAAAAAAATATATTCAAAGATAAACAAAAGAGTGGATTTCAAAGATTACTGAAACTTCGATTAAAAATATATATTTTAAGGATAAAATTTAAATGGATTTTCAAAATATATTTTTTCAAGGATTAACAGAAGCGTGGATTTTTAAAGGAATATTTTTTCAAGGACTAGTTAAGCGTTGATTTCTTAAAGAATATTTTTCAAAGGACCGATAAAAGGCATGGATTTTTTAAAGAATATTTTTTCAAGAAGCGTGGATTTTTTAAAGAATATTTTTTCAAGAAGCGTGGATTTTTTAAAGAATATTTTTTCAAGAAGCGTGGATTTTTTAAAGAATATTTTTTCAAGAAGCGTGGATTTTTTAAAGAATATTTTTTCAAGAAGCGTGGATTTTTTAAAGAATATTTTTTCAAGAAGCGTGGATTTTTTAAAGAATATTTTTTCAAGAAGCGTGGATTTTTTAAAGAATATTTTTCCAAGAAGCGTGGATTTTTTAAAGAATATTTTTTCAAGAAGCGTGGATTTTTTAAAGAATATTTTTTCAAGAAGCGTGGATTTTTTAAAGAATATTTTTTCAAGAAGCGTGGATTTTTTAAAGAATATTTTTTCAAGAAGCGTGGATTTTTTAAAGAATATTTTTTCAAGAAGCGTGGATTTTTTAAAGAATATTTTTTCAAGAAGCGTGGATTTTTTAAAGAATATTTTTTCAAGAAGCGTGGATTTTTTAAAGAATATTTTTTCAAGAAGCGTGGATTTTTTAAAGAATATTTTTTCAAGAAGCGTGGATTTTTTAAAGAATATTTTTCAAGAAGCGTGGATTTTTTAAAGAATATTTTTTCAAGAAGCGTGGATTTTTTAAAGAATATTTTTTCAAGAAGCGTGGATTTTTTAAAGAATATTTTTTCAAGAAGCGTGGATTTTTTAAAGAATATTTTTTCAAGAAGCGTGGATTTTTTAAAGAATATTTTTTCAAGAAGCGTGGATTTTTTAAAGAATATTTTTTCAAGAAGCGTGGATTTTTTAAAGAATATTTTTTCAAGAAGCGTGGATTTTTTAAAGAATATTTTTTCAAGAAGCGTGGATTTTTTAAAGAAAATATTTTAAAGAAGCGTGCATTTTTTAAAGAATATTATTTCAAGAAGCGTGGATTTTTTAAAGAATATTTTTTCAAGAAGCGTGGATTTTTTAAAGAATATTTTTTCAAGAAGCGTGGATTTTTTAAAGAATATTTTTTCAAGAAGCGTGGATTTTTTAAAGAATATTTTTTCAAGAAGCGTGGATTTTTTAAAGAATATTTTTTCAAGAAGCGTGGATTTTTTAAAGAATATTTTTTCAAGAAGCGTGGATTTTTTAAAGAATATTTTTTCAAGAAGCGTGGATTTTTTAAAGAATATTTTTTCAAGAAGCGTGGATTTTTTAAAGAATATTTTTTCAAGAAGCGTGGATTTTTTAAAGAATATTTTTCAAGAAGCGTGGATTTTTTAAAGAATATTTTTTCAAGAAGCGTGGATTTTTTAAAGAAGCGTGGATTTTTTAAAGAATATTTTTTCAAGAAGCGTGGATTTTTTAAAGAATATTTTTTTCAACGTGGATTTTTTATAATGATCGGTTTTTTAAGCGTGGACCAAAAATATTTTTTCAAGAAGCGTGGATTTTTTAAAGAATATTTTTTCAAGAAGCGTGGATTTTTTAAAGAATATTTTTTCAAGAAGCGTGGATTTTTTAAAGAATATTTTTTTAAGAAGCGTGGATTTTTTAAAGAATATTTTTTTAAGAAGCGTGGATTTTTTAAAGAATATTTTTTCAAGAAGCGTGGATTTTTTAAAGAATATTTTTTCAAGAAGCGTGGATTTTTTAAAGAATATTTTTTCAAGAAGCGTGGATTTTTTAAAGAATATTTTTTCAAGAAGCGTGGATTTTTTAAAGAATATTTTTTCAAGAAGCGTGGATTTTTTAAAGAATATTTTTTCAAGAAGCGTGGATTTTTTAAAGAATATTTTTTCAAGAAGCGTGGATTTTTTAAAGAATATTTTTTCAAGAAGCGTGGATTTTTTAAAGAATATTTTTTCAAGAAGCGTGATTTTTTCAAGAAGGATTTTTTAAAGAATATTTTTTAGACGTGGATTTTTTAAAGAATATTTTTTATAAGAAGCGTGGATTTTTTAAAGAACCAATACAAGGCGTGGATTTTTTAAAGAATATTTTTTCAAGGCGTGGATTTTTAAAGACCAATACAAGGCGTGGATTTTTTAAAGAATACCAATACAAGGCGTGGATTTTTTAAAGAATATTTTTTCAAGAAGCGTGGATTTTTTAAAGAATAAAAACAATACAAGGCGTGATTTTTTTAAAGAATATTTTTCAAGGATTAACACAAATTAGGCGTGGATTTTTAAAGGACCAATACAAGGCATGGTTTTTTAAAGGACCAATACAAGGCATGGATTTTTGAAGGACCAATACAAGGCGTAGATTTTTGAAGGACCAATACAAGGCATGGATTTTCAAAAGAATATTTTTTTTGAAAATTACGAAAGACGTGAATTTTTTAAGGACCAATACAAGGAATGGATTTTAAAGGACCAATACAAGGCGTGGATTTTTAAAGGATCAATACAAGGCATGGATTTTTAAAGGACCAATACAAGGCATGGATTTTTAAAGGACCAATACAAGGCATGGATTTTTAAAGGACCAATACAAGGCATGGATTTTTGAAGGACCAATACAAGGCATGGATTTTCAAAAGAATATTTTTTTGAAAATTACGAAAGACGTGAATTTTTTAAAGGACCAATACAAGGCTTGTATTTTTAACGAATATTTTTTCGAAGATTACGAAGGGTTTGGATTTTTTAAAAAATATTTTTTCTTAAATTACGAAAGGCGTGGATTTTTTAAAGAATATTTTTTCTAAAATTACGAATGGCGTGGATTTTTAAAGAATATTTTTTCTAAAATTATGAATGGCGTGGATTTTTAAAGAATATTTTTTCCGAAAATTACGAATGGCGTGGATTTTTTATATTGATTACAAAAGCTTATATTTTTGTGACTATTTACTCCAGCCCTTTAACATTTACTATAACATTTCTCAAATGTATTTCTTATATCCCGAGGAGTATTTATTTATAATATTATTCGTAACCGCTGATGGGAAAAACATATTCAAAGCAATTTAAGTAAAACAACAACAACAATGCCATGACTGTGTCTTGTGAAAGTATAGCCACTCTCAAATACCATTGCCAATTTTCAACATCAAATCTTTTTGTCTCTACAAAAAACACATCTCAGACGACATAAAAAACAACAACAACAAAAAAGCAGATTAAATAAATAGCCAAAACGTTTTTGGGCACTGAATTGCATCCGTTTGTGTCAACCGGTTAATCGCCTGCCCAACTGCATTAGTAGTCCTCCACAGATGTATTCCTGCAGGTCATAATGTTGACTTTACTTTGGATTTTCTTTAATAGTAGGTATTTTCTAAACACTTTAGCTGAAATATTTTTAAGTGCAAATGATTGATTAATCAGCTTAAGATAGACGGATAACTACGTGAGCAAAACGAATTGAAAGTGTGGAAAAAGAGCTGCTGTAGAAAAACTTTGTATGGAAAATTAGTTATGAAGAAAAACAGCAGTTCATCCGGTTAAAAATAGCCGAATATGAAATCGCTTAAAAATAAATGATGAAAACGCTCCTTTATTAAAAAATAAATTATAAAAGAACTTTCAATCTCAAATGGAATTTTCCAACCCCAAACCATAACCCTATTTAGTTGTAGTTTTGTAAGCGACGATTTTAATGTGAAATATTGGCTCGTTTCAGGCAATTTTATATCAATTTAAAAATTCTGTTCGTCTGGCTGATCAATACTTTTACAAAGCCTCCGAAGATGGATCAAACCCTTCAGGTACCCCTCCAACAGAGTTTCAATATTTTGAAAATTGTAAATCCAATTTTTACTGTATGGAAAGTCCGATTCGATTTAAATTTAGAACATCGTATTTTTAACAGACCTAGACCAAATTCGGACCAATCCTTCTGGTACCGTCGCTAAGTTTTAGAATGTAAAATTTCGTGGTGCTAGAGTCATAACTCTTGGACTCTAGAACCACTAAGAAAACAGGCTGACCGAAATCGAACCTACATAAAGCCAGTAAGGAAAGTAGTAAAGTCGGACGGGGCCAACTATATAAAACCCTTCACCACTTTGTGTATATTCAAAAGATGGAATCCTAACAGACTTCGCATTTTTGAAGGACCATTAAGAAGAAATTAAACATGTCATTCTGAAACCAATAATAAATTTTGTTCATTGCTATTTTACAATAGGATAAAATTAGAAAATATCGAAATCTAAACCGATTTCATCGAAACTTGTCACATGTTAGGTTACACTTATTTCAGTGTTTTGTGCATTCGACCATATTTTGAGTTCTTCATTTACTTATAAATCCAAATTCGTGCAAATTGTAGGATATATAGGGAATTTTCGCACCATGTACATAAAATCGGCCGAAAATATATATGGGAGCTATATCTAAATCTGAGCCGATTTCCACGAAACCTAACACACTTCATTCTAGACCTAAATCATTACGCTGTGCCAAATGTCGTGCAAATCAAAGGAAATAATGTAACTTTGATACACCATTTACCTAAAATCGGACGAAAATATATATGGGAGCTATATCTAAATCTGAACCGATTTTCAGGAAACTTAGCATTTCAGGAAACTTAGGAAATTTCGTGCAAATCGAAGGATATATACGGACTTTGGTGCACCATTTACCTAAAATCGGACGAAAATATATATGGGAGCTATATCTAAATCTGAACCGATTTTCAGGAAACTTGACACACATCATTCTAGACCTAATTCATTACGCTGTGCCAAATTTCGTGCAAATCGAAAGATATAT